CAAAGTCTTAATTTTTAGAAAGCTTATTCCAGCTCGTGGCCAGACCAGCCTCTGTCCAGCAACCCAAGGATTTCTGCATTTGTTTGTCCCACTGCTTTAGGCTGAGGCCTCACAAACAAGCTGTGGGTTTCTGGTGCTGATTCCTCTCTGATTTATGTAGGTCACCCAAACTGCCCTTGCACACCCTCAGAGCCCTTGATTATAATGTCTTGGCCACAGGTAGGGTGTTAAACACAGTGTCTGAAGTTCTGGGAATGCCTCCCAGCCAGAGTCATCCTGTCCTCATGGTTCAGCTCATGGAATGGACTTTTCCCTCCCCCAGCTACACCTCGAAACAAACTTGATGTCTGGGCAACGTTTTATGCAGTGTATGTACCCTAAATCCCTCCTGAGGCTGAAAAACTTCCAGGAAGAGGTCTTTAAAGTGCTTAAAAACAATATAAGCCACAAAATATATATATATATATATATATATATAAATCTTTCTCTAATGAGGATCTAGAAACTGAACATGACCAGCAGAATGCTGCTGTGCTGCTCAGCACACACAGCCTCAAAAACACTGACATCTGTGAGGAGAACACAGGCACCTTAAGAACAAGACACCAGATTTAAAAAGAACAACAACAAAAAAAAAAGAATAGATAACCATCATAATCAGCTTCTTGCAGTGTTGTTCTAGTATTATATTCTTAAAGCCTATTTTCAAGAAAAGGTCATTACAAAGGGAAGTGTGTTTGTTGAGGAATTCTGCAACATAAAAAAAAAAACCCAAAAAAATGCTTCCTCTGTCACAGGGCTGCAAGACCAACCTCTAACACAACTTTCTGTGCTACAACAATCAGTTTCTTGTGCTCTCCATTAAAAATAAAGTGAATCTTGATGTTTAAGCACACAGGGGTAAAAGCTGAAGGGAATATTTCAATGGAGTGTTATCTTGCAGCACTGTAAGCATCCCAAGAAAGAAAAACTGCTACAAAAATCCTCTAACAGACAGAAAAAATACCATAAATCTTCTAGGCTGTCTTACAGCCAAAAAGCTCTTTTGCCATGAAAGTATTTCCCTGTGAACACAATGAAAGTCAGGATGCCCAAGGACAAAAATGGTCTCTTGGGAGCTCTGGCCAAAGAGGACAGAGCTGCTTCCTTTCCTCTTGGTTTTGTTCTTTTAAGTAAAAAAAAAAATAAAGAAATAGAATGCTCAACTCTACTTCTGAAGCACTTTAATGACAAGTTTTATGTGTTTTAATCTATCCAGTCCAGGGGGCAAAGTGTTATTGAAGAGAACAGCAAGAGAGGAGCATGTGTAGCATGTCCCTCTGGCCTAAGGAAGTTTGCACCACTGTTTGTGCAGCAAAATGGTGCAAACAACAACAAAACTATGCAACATTTCAGTTTTCTAAGCCTGCAGCTTTGCTTTGGTGTACGAGTGCAAAGCATCCCAGGCAGGGAGACAAGTTTGACCTGCACCTAAAAGATGGGAATGAAACGTGCGCTGACTTTTGGAAAAACTCAGTGGCAACACAAACCCTCCCAGCTGGCTTGGAAAAAAAAAAAAAAACCAACACAAAACTCAGGCAAGGTCCTTCTACAAGAAAATAAAGAACATTTCAGTCAGGGCTGCTCTTCTAGAAGGTTCTTACGTGGCAGCTTGAGGCCGAACCACCACCCCTCCTGTGCATCGGCTGGGCCGGCGCGGGGACTCTGTCGCCATCGTTTCTGTGCTCACACCTGCAGGAAACACAGCCCTTTTTAACATCACCTGTGCAGGATTAATTGTTACAAACTTCCTGACATATTCTTCAAGGAGAAACTCCACTCAGACAAACCCGTAGGCGCCTTCACAGCACTTCTGTTTTTTTAAGCAAAAGAAAAGCAGGCGCCAAACCCGCGATTTCTCTTTGCAGTGTCTCGGTCACTGCAGCTCCTGGAGTGTTTGTGGAAGCGAAAAAAAAACCACCTCACAGACCTGCATGATAAACTGGAAAAGCACCTTCAACTCTCAACCCTTTCAACCCAAACAATTCCATGACTGAAGGCAGTGGTACGGGCACACAGGTGTCGTCATCATCACATAAACCCACTATTTACTGTTGTCTTGGGAAATAATTATATAAAAATAATGCACAGTCACAACTGCAGTGTATTGTACTCTTGAAAAAAACGGGTTACACTGAAGCTCACACAAAAACTGTAGTGGAACACATTCTGCTGTTCCATGTCAGCTTTTCGTGTCACCTGAGAGCTTTTCTTCACACTTCTGCTGTCTGAACAGTCTGGGTAACGTTCCTAAAGGCAAAAGGCACTTGAGGAGCATCACAGGTCCCTGCCAGCTCCTCAGTCCACTCGGCTGTGTCCCCCCACCCCAAACCAAGAACCTGGGCACAAAGTGAGAGAAAAAAGCCAAATCCCCAACGTGGTACCAATCACCAGCATCGTTTCACGTGGGGGCAGACTCTGTGAGGGCCAACTCATTCAGTGAGGCAAGGTAACCACCCGGAAGTTAATAAAAAAAAATAATAATTAATAACAAAACCTTCAGGAACACAACCGCAGCGTGACACGCACGTGAAGGAACCGCAAAACACAAAAATGGCACGGGAGGGATGGACCCACCCTCGGGACACCTGTGCCCGCCCAGCCCTGAGTGCCAACACCTGGTGCCACCCCCGCGAGGGGCAGGGAGCAGCTGAACACAGTTCAGCCCCTCCTCTGAGGGATTCCACACACCTGCGACCCAACCCGGACACCCCCCCGCTCCCCCCCCGCGGCCGGGCCGGCCGGGCACCCTCAGCTATTGAGCAACTCCCACCCAAACGCCGCGACCTGCCCGGCCTTTTGTCCCCCTTTTGGCCGCCCGGTGAGCGGGGCCGTGTCCTCGCCGGGACCGCCCGGGGAGCGGGGCCGCGGCCTCGCCTCCCGCCCCGCGCCCTCCCGCCGCACCGCCGGGGGTCCCTCAGGCCGCACGGCCCGGCCTGCCCTGCCCGCCGCCCCCCGGCCCGCCCCAGCCTCGCATCCCCGGCGCTCGGAGCCCGCTCGGAGCCCGCTCGGAGCCGCCTCAGCGCTGCCCCGCGCGCGAACCCGCGCGGCGCCCCCTCAGCCCGCGCGCCCCTCACCCGCCGCCGCTCCCGGCGCCACTGACACTGTTTGGGACCCCCTGGGCAATGACAACCAGCGCTCCGCGCCCGCCGCCAATCAGCGCTCAGCGGGGGCGGGCCGCTCCCCCGGCTCGGCCAATGGGCGACCGCGCCGCCGGGTGGTGGGCGGGGCGCGGAGGGACGCGGCCGGAGGCGGGAGGAGCCACCTCCTCTGGCCCCTCCCGCTGGCTTTGTTTACATCGGGGATCTCGCGAGAGCCGCCGCGCGCACGTGGGGTGGGGAGGGGGGAGGAAGGCGGGGCCGCCCCGGATTGGCGGGGGTGGAGCCCGCCCCCGAGGAGTGACGTCATGGGGGCGTGGCCACCACCCTGAGGGGACCGTGAGGGGACCGTGAGGGGACCGTGAGGGGACCGTGA